AAAACATATATTTAATACTTGCGCCGGGTATTTAATGTTCGGCTCCGCCCGAACTTAGACTTTCTTACTTGTTTCAAATTAAAATTTTTCGAGTAACTCGAAAACCGGTTTTGGAGAAAAGCGAATAATGGAACACCTTGGTATTCATATTTGTCAATGCAGCAGGAAATTTACACAAGATTTTATTTTTTTTTAAGTTTTAAATTTGCAGATTTTTTGGCATTTATTGTATTTCTGGGATTCTTCAAAGTATTTTCAATCCACCCGAGATTTTTGGTTTTGTTTCGTAATATTTCGGGGGTTTTCAACGATTTATGTTAAAAAAAAAAATATAGAAAAACTAAACAACTATCATTTGTTTTGTCTTAACCCTTTCACCACCAGTGCCCAATATATTGGATAAACTTTTTTGTGTTTAAAACTCTTTATTTTTCGTACATAAATAGAGGCTGTCTCTTTTGTTAAAAGAACAGTTGTGTAGAGCAAATTATATATTTTTTCTTTACCGCGTTTTTCGAGTTGAACTTTCTGGACTAGTGATATGTTGAGTCAATACTTTTAAATATTGATCGATATTCGGTACCGATTTAAAAAAGTATCCAATACTCTCGATACGCGGAAAAAAACGGTTCAGGGGAGACTCGCCCATCAAACCCCGAATGTAGGAGCCAATAGAGCTTTTAATACTGATTCAAATGAAAGATGTATATATGTCGGTTCAGAGCCATAATGCAGAGAAACTCTTACTTGTTTGAAGCAATTTGTTCCAGCTGAACCGGACGATATCATTTTTGTAGGCCTGGGGCAGATTCTGTAACCAGTTAGCGACAATTTTCGAATCGGTATCGGTTTCGTTGACGTATGATATGAAATATTTTTACTTCATCAAGTGCGATATCGATCCGAAACTTGTCGCTAACTGGTATCGGGCACCGAAAACGAAGTATTGGGTACCGAAATCTTTTTTAAGTATTGGGTACCGAAATCTTTTTTAAGTATTGGGTACCGATAATTCAGCACATCAATATTCTGGACGCAATTGACCATGTCTTCTCAGAAAAGTGAAAATTTTCACAAAATTCGGTAGTGAGTAGAGTAGCATTGAAAAAAGCTACAGAATTTGGGAAGGAATTTGTCAAAGTTGGTTTAGAGACAAACCGGTTTCGGCGTTGTGCCATCTTCTGAGTAAGTTCTCGTACTCGAAACATACACCCATCGAGTCGGAAGCATTAACAACTAAAAAGGACTATTTGACTTCCTTTTTAAACATAACGGGTACCACTGTCCAATAAAATGGGCGCTGAATAACGGTGAAGGTAAGAATGTTGAAAATAATTGTTGAAAGTGAAGGTAAGAGTTAAAAAAAAATGTTGATTGTATTTTTGAAATTAACGGTACAAAACTTGCCGGAATGCAATTTTTCATAAGATGTTCTAAGTTAAATTTCACAGTTATGTCTGTCAGCAGTTTCTGATGCCGCTATCTTAAATTCAGATCTCTTTGTGATATCCCATTGGGCTTGCAATTATTCTTGATCCCCCTAAAATCACTTAGTGGTTACTCAGTTGAGAGCTAAAACATTGACTATTTATTGAACAATGGTTTCCATCCAAAATACACAGGGCAGATTGCCATTGACTGTTGTCTGTTGTAGATATTACAAAAGCAAATTAGTGACGAACGATCGAAGTTGAGGCTTTAATCCTCCCTTCGATGAAGTTTTTAAAGTCTTATTAGTGTAGATAATTTTGCTGTCATACGGCGAATATAAATATAAGAAATAGTATTCGATACTCTCCATTAATTCTTCAACTGCATTTTTGGATGAGAGTCGCAGCTTTTTACCGTTTCTCGATAATTTAGCACCGCAGTAGTTACCGTATTTATGTCTAGGCATCTATACAACGCTTCCACTACAATTTAAAACAAAGACGCGCCTTCCGATGACTTGGTGTTGTTAAACTGAGAAAATCTAGTAGATCATAACCAGTGTTGCCAAGAGAAAATCTGCGCCTGTACTAAAAATATACGTTCCAAAATATTGCTAAAAAATATCTGAACACCATCTTTGTTCCAGCACTGGCGCACGAAGTGGAGGTTAGGCGGTCGTTAATGCTTTTATATTACTATACCATGTTTGAAACCAAGCAAATACAAATATCGAGCTAAATATACGCTGACTGTAACTTCTTAGCATCAGAAAATTTCTCCAATCATTCTAAATCACTTTGGGAATTGTATGCCCTACTTTTATAGTAATGTACTAAGTAAAAACATCCAACACTAAATGAAGTTAAATAGTCTTCAAACATTGTAACACTCCCAAGAATTCGGCGATCAAACCTGTACCTTTGTACTAAGAAGAAAAGAGCTTCCCCAAGGCGTGATGAAATCAATTAGAACTTTTCTGCTCTGTACAAAAACAAGGAACGCATGAAAACTGTAACAATCGGGAAGACAAATGAATATCAGTTAATCATTATAAACAGCTGAGCCAGCCGAGTTAGGCCCAAGTTAGATGCGCTAAATTTTGCGCCCAACCAAAGTAGGCTCATTAACAATCCGTTACTTTGACTTTGTCTAAGCAAACTTAGCAACAGAGCAAATGGTTTTTTAATTAGCTCCACCTTCAATTGCTGTGCCTGTAATTTCGTAAGTCTGCTTAGCGAATTTGGGTTAAGGGTGTGGTGGAAAACGCTTGGCTTGCAAAGGGATTGAATGTGTGCTTTATATAGACATATATTTTTGTTTTTTTGTTTTTAAGGCAGAAGTAATCACGGCGCATGTGTAAGTGCTCTGATTGCTGTGGGAAATGACAAACCTCTATGCTGGTCATACCTTACAGTCGAATGTAATACATATCATTGACCTGTGCGATCACAAAACGTGCGATCATTCTATCGATCAATCCAAGTGGTGATCAGTGCTAGCGTTTATTTGAGTCGAAAAGAAAAAGAGTGCAATAAGAATGCGCAAAAAATCGCTTGCCTATAATACGAAAATTAATTTACCAATTATTTCAAACTCAACAGTGAAATGGTTAGCATTTTTTTCTGCTTCAGCAACAGGTTCTTCCCACTTGCATACCTGTAGGTATCGGTTTGAGGTGGCACTACTAGCCTTTTTGCGCTTCTTGGCGTTGGTGTCCATTTGGAGCGAAAATATCATTAATCATGAAACACGGCTAGCCTTTGGCAATAGAACAATGGCATGAAAAGCTTGAAATTTTGTAAACTAAAGCGTTAAGTTACCGAAAAATAGTTTCGAAAATGATCAGTGGCTGAGGCTTGCACATGTTCAGCATATATTAGTGTCGTTACAACATAACATGCGCACCCGTCACATCCATTAATTAAGACGATTTTTTTAATAAATTTGTAATTAGTAAAATAAAAACGAAAAAATAATTCAGAATTTTGAATTTGGACGAGCTAAAATAAATCTTTTAATTCTGCTTTGGAGAGAGAATTTAAACCTCATAAATAATCTACCACAATTAATAATAAGCAATATCGAAATTTGCCAGAAAGTCAGCATTAAATTAAATTTTTTCTTCTGAGTACTGGATCAGGTTTCCACCAAAACTTTAACTGCCGATATTTTGATATAAAAATATTTTTAACCCACTTTTTATTATTTTTCGAAGTCAAATTTAAAAATTAATATATTTGTATTGTCACTTATAGTTGAAAAAATTTCAAGCTGGACAAAAAAGTTGGAAAAATGTTAAATTTTAACCCAATATAATTTATTATATGAGTAAATATGATTTCTAACCAATTTGTGGCTGATTTTACATGATAAAATTTAAGAAATAATTAAAAATTTTAATTTTGTAGACAATTTTGATTTGAATTTAAAAAATAATTAAAAAATTTAATTTTGTAGACAATTTTAATTACATTAACGATAGCCACATAAAACTTTGCAATGCACAAAAAATTAAATTTTCGAAGATTTTATTATTTTCACTCAGTTTTCAAAGTCGATTTTTATTTTTTGTATTTTTTACTCGCTGTTGATAATTACATAAGTCTCTTCCAATACAAAAAATATAAAAAAAACTGATAAAATAATATGATTTTTGATAATCTTAAATAACTGAAAAAAAATATATATTAATTTTTATTTTTTTTTTTAAATTTGGGGAAACTTTTCAAGGTAAAATTGAAGCACAATAAAAGTTTTTGTTATCGTTCAAAAGTTATAGATTATTGATCACTCACACCCCTAAACAAGTACAATGTGCGACGTCAAGAAGTCAATTCACATGGCTAATAAGTTTCCCGCCTTTCCAGTAGATGCCTCCTCTGTGACAAGACAAAATTGCAAGTGCATTACGGCAAACAAAAGCTAATAAGGCACTGTTTGTCTTTAAAAACTATAGAATTATAAAGGCAGTTAACACTGAAAAAGTGTCGTTTTTTTTAAATTATAGCATATCAAATATCGAAGGCATTCAACCTCGTTGTAGCGAGGTTTCACTGTAAATTATTTTTATTTCTAATAAAATTAACTTCTCTAAACTTCTTTTAACTTACCCGACTCTGAGATGGCCGAATACCCAGTGGCATGACTTGCCTCGGACACGTCACTCATGGAACCCAACCATTTTAGGGTCTCCGTTGATGAAGTGCTTTCCGAACTGTTATTGTGTTGCTGTTGATTGCTGCCGCTGTTACCGCCTGTGAGCGCTACATCTCGACCTATAGTGGCGAGCAGCAGTAGGGTGGGAGAGGGTGCCATCGAGGCACATGAAACGGAGGATAAGTCGTTCTGCGACCAGTGGTGGGAGGATTGGCGTGACAACATCTCGCTTTCCTGACGTAATCTGCGTAAACGAAATAGAATAGGAAAATATAAATTTAGACGAAATTGGCAATTAAAAATGAAAATTATACTTATGCAGAATATAAAATTTAATGAACAAGATTGGCAAACCATATGAATAATCATGCCAAATTAAAATTAATTGAAATTTTAAGTCATAAACAAGTGGTTTAATGATAAAAAATATATGTACATATATATGTAATAGTAGGGCGGGTCGAAAAACACAAAATGTTTGCTTCGAAAATTGCTATTTTAATCACTTAAGGCCGATATGCAGCTCTTAAGAAAAGCAAAAACTCCATATAAAATGAAATCGCTAAGAAATTTTCTTGAGACAAATTTTCTTAAGGCAGTACGTAGTTTTTAAGAATATTGCTACGCTTTCTACTACGGGTTTCTAAAGTTTTTTTGTGAAAAAAGAGCACAAGGCGCCCATGTTTGCAACAGAAATATATGCCCGTTCCATCATTTCTTGAGGAAAGGATGAGGCAACAGGCTGTGATATCAGAATTCCTTGGACACACACACGAAATAATGGCAATTTTTTCCTGACCGCTTTCTTGAGAGCTGCATACTGGCCCTTATTCTAAAAAATAAATCCTAGAGCATGAAAAATTTAAAATTAGACAACGGAACTTACTTCCGCTCATAAAATCACAAAAAAATAAATTGGGCAAATTAAAAGTAAGTAACAGCAATATTTTAATGAATAAAGTTTAATTGATTAAAATATTCATGTTACTTACTTCTAATGTAGCCAATTTGTTTTTTTATGATATTATAAGAGGAAATATGTTCGTTGTAAAAATTAAAAAAACTGGTACTCCTACTCTAATTTTCAATTTTTCAAGCTCATTCCACAGACTGAAGATATTGTCGCAGAGAAACAGGATTTCTTTTTTTTAGAAAAAAGGGATTAAAATAGCACCTTTAAAGACCTATACAAATTTTGTATCGAAATATTTGTGTTTTTCGACCCGCCCTAATGTATATACTTATAACATTCTACAGGTTTATAGAAACTTTTGCACGAATTCGACGCGTTTATTTGATCAGATGAATTCAGGTGCCATATTCAGCCACGGGCGAGTGAATTTTATTATCCGAAGTAAAAAAAAAATAAAAAAAATCTAGTACAACAATACTTTAACGATTTTTGTACAGTCAATTGCGGAACTAACACCAATGTCTTACTCAAAAGTCATGAAAAGGGAAATAAAAAGCAAGTCTTACAAAAAAAAAATATTAAAAAGTTAATAATTTAATTTAAAGAACAAATCATTAAAATGGTTTTATTTTCTATAAACTAAGGCGGCAATATGTATAAGCGGCAATATGTATAAGATCACATAAGTAGCATGTCGTGTAGCCAGCCACTCTTGTAGTCAGGCAGTCAGGCAGTCAGTCACTTAGCCAGTCAGTCCATCAGCCAGCCAACCAGCTAGTGAGTGACTTAAGCTGCGTGTATTTACTCGTATCAGGCATTCGATCTGCTTCTACATGATTTGATTGCTTTTAGCCTCCAGGCGTCGTCAGTGCCAATAATCAATTGTGGCTTAAAACAGACGTCATATTCATAGAAATAAATACACGCAGACTTACATAGAGTAGGTACTTGCAGGCATACAATATTTATGTACAAATGTATTTAAATACTCTTTTTTTAAATTAGTTTTTATAGTAAATAGCAGCTTATATTCATATGTATGTATGTATGTATGTATGTATGTATGTGCACTTATGTGTTTACGTGCTGTTTATTTAGTTATGGGCTTGTTCATGTGTATTGATTTGCAGCCTTCAAGCTCACGAATGTTATTTTTGCCCCAAATTGACAAGCAAACCAATTGACATACAGACAGTTGGCTAGACAGGCAACCACCAGCTTAACATAAAACTTAATGAAGTGTGTTTATGTAGCGTTGACTTTTGACAGGACACTCTTGTATAAACAGCGAAAATAAATTATAATTTCTGGAGCCAAGCAGCGTCCAATAAATATAAAATGAAACTGTGGCCGCGAAATATGTAGTACAGTGTAGGGAAAGAAATATGTTTTTTTATATCTCGTATACGAATAAAAAAAATTATTTACTAAATTAAAATATTTGCTAAGCAGCTACTCGTGCAGTATATGCAAAGTACTGGGCTGAGGAACGAGCTTTCAAATAATCTAACCTTTTTTTTTGTGAGCTTAAAGTTCTTGCTAGGTGGCGCTGGAATCGAGTTAATTATAAAAGTCGTAATTATGAACCGACTTCATTCAAATTCAAAATCTATATGAACTTCATGTTAAAAAGTGCGTCTGCGAAAAATGGGCCAGCTAGGTGGAAATGTCGCACCACGCTGTCGTCACTGAGTCGTATCAACGTCACTCTATGCTAGGTTCTCGGAAATAGCAATATTGAAGGGAATGATTCGACTGATGAGATGGCTAGATGCGGCTCAGAGATGCCAATAGAAGAAGCGGATAGCTCCGGGGTAGTGTTAAGTGATCACGGTAGCAAAATTAATGAGTACATCCTAGCCGTGACGAATGAATTGTGGAAGAAACGGGAAGACTGTGAGACCATAAGATTATTATGGCCGCGGCTGGGTAGGAAAAAGTCAAGAGACATACTGAAACTCAATCGATCTGCAGTAAGAGTCCTTACTGGCGTCATCACATGACACTGTTCTATAGCACCAATGCTCCAACGGTGGCGAATACCAAAGAATATTCTCTGCAGAGGCAGAGAACAACAACGAAGACGAAGCGACTCCAGTACTTGGGTTCACGCTTTTTCAACAGTCTGGGCGAAGTACCAGAGGTGGAACTGTTGGATCTCTTCGGCTTCATTGGTTCAGTAAAATAATGACTTTTCGATATAGGTACGTGTCTCCTCCTGACACTCACTAAAAGAGGGCACTCACAATGGACAATTCTGTCTCCGAGTGAAAGTATGGACTATTCCACACACGCCCTTCTAACCTAACCTAGGTGGCGCCGTTTTTCTTTCTTTTCTTCTTTCGTTTTTCTTCTTTTCTTTTTTCGGTATTTCTAATTCTTAAATATAACAATAAACACTTTTGCAAAAATAGACCCGCTGGGTAATACTTGGGTGGAGTTATTTTTAAAACCCGATTTTTCGGTCCGATTTTGTTATTATTCGGTATTTTACCTACATATCGAAACATATTTTTGCATTGCATTTACATAGCTCCGCTTGACCGTAGAAGCCAATTCATTGATCAGGGGATTTTCTACCAGGGTCAAAGGTATATCAACGAGAAGCGTTTGCCATCCAGTTGGCAGCACGAAACTCGCTCAGAGACCTAGAGAGAGCAAACGAGACTTTATCTTCCGCGGCAAAACTGTGTACTTGAGTTACCTTATAACTACTTTTATTGGCTTATATGACATAAGACTAGAGTTTGACGCATCCGACGTAACGGAGAACGTAGACGAGAGATTTTAAAGAACCCACGGTTTGCAATACCTGCAAAAGGGCTACGGAATAAAAATGCCGCAATCACCGAAAGAACGAGTATCTGAAGCAAAGTTATCAGACCGATTGTCATCCAGTTTATTGGCAAGCATTAATCAAAGAGAGCAACAAGGAAATAATTGTGCAATTGTAAGTGCAAAGGTTCGCATGCATATTGGAAACGATAAGCAGCGAGCCACAGGAACAGCTCATCATCAACATTTCTCGTTTGAAACTGATAAAATGATTCTTGAGATAAAAGGGCTCGAATCGTAGCAGACGTGAACGAGCAACTCGGATTATAACAGTCGTGAACGTACTGCTCGTCTGATAAGTTGCTCGTTCACGATTATTACGATTCGAGTCCAGGTTTGGAAAAAACCCTACAAGGGAGAGGAGCCCATGTAAACGTTGTTGAAGTATGTATCATTTATATACTGTAGACGCAAATCTTTGCGGAGCACCTCTTTTTAAAGCAAAACGTTTTCGTTTGTTTGTAAGTATTTTTGTCAGTGCTAAACATATTTTTTAATTATAATTATACAAAAATATTTAAAGTATTTAACAATAAACATGCTTTTTGAAGTGTTAATAAAAATTTCCACTTAAATTTGCGGAAGAGATTAAATTGCAGGCATTTTCTATGATAAATTTAAAATATGTTATTGTCGCAGCTTTTCAATTGATTTTTTATGAAATACAAAACAAAAATGTTAACCACATTAATTACTCGTACAACGCATTCTTTATGTACATATGTATGTGTTTTCTGGTCACAAAGCCGCTTTAATTGAGAAGAAATAAATGAAAAATGTAAGTACAATTAAGTAGTTATTTCATGTTGCTATGGTGCAGAAATAAAAAAAAATAATAATAAATATGAAGAGCATTAAGTAGTATGTATGTACATTAGGGTGGTCCTTAAAACATCAAATTAAGTATTTTTTTCAATCTCACCACCTGCATCGGTAATACCACGGTCATAGATTGGAGACGGTAAAGGCGTGTCGCATAGCGGTCAAAGTCCAAATGCCTCTATGGAGACTAAAAAAATTAAAAATATTTTTTTCATTTTATAATTAATTTCGCACAGGTGGCAACGTTCAGATTACTCTATGGAGACTCAAAAAATTTAAATTATTATTTTTTTCATCTAACACCCGAAATCTATACTACTAAAGTCGAAGATATCACATATAAATTTTGGTCCCGATTGCAGTCGGTTAAGACATTTTCATAGGGTAACCAAAATTTATATGTGATAACTTCGACTATAGTAGTAGCAACGACGTAAGGGTTGAGGCTTAGGAAATCTGATGTAAATATTTCCTTCCTACATTTACGGACCACCCTAATGTACATAGAAAATAAATAATTAAAAAATCACTTCCATAGCGCGCACTTAACAGCCTCAACAAACTCACATATGGCGAGTGGCTCTCGGCATTTTGCGGTTTCTTATGGCTGCTGTTATTGTATAGAACGATCACCAGCCGCTAAGCTTCTATTAAATATTGCAGCATTTTTAAATAATATAAGCAAATTGTATTGAAGCATTAATTAAATACTCAGCGTGAATAAGAAAATTCCATTCTAGTTTCTTTATTTGTTGAGCATGGTGTGAAAAAAGCTGAGAAATATTGACACGCGAGATATTCCATGTAGATGACTTGATGACTAGTTGGCTGATTTGTTTATTCTAATA